AAAAAAAAATGAAAAGATGATCACACAAAGTAGAAAGGTAGTGTTTATTTTGAGGACTAGATTACACGTGTAAGAGATTTCTCTGAATTGGATATTCTACCTAAAGCACGGTCAAGTTCCACTTGTAATACATAAGGCAACTTCTGAGGATGACAATAGAACCGGATCTATTAATCGCTGAGACACTACAGCCATTCTGTAACATTCACCGCCCCAAGAAATCTAATACTCAGAAAACACTAAAAAATAAATATAGTTTGCCTCCAAACAGACCCACCAGTAACAGCTAGTTAGTGGATCAGGGTGAGAACCAAACATGGCTGCTACTCGGTATACACGGTATACAGCAGCGCGCTTTAATCAGGCAGAGAAACACTGACGGTGAAACAGACATTCAGGGTTTTAAATAGACACAAATCACCTCACATCAGCAGGGATGTTTCCAAAAAGCTTTTTTTTTGGGAGATAAATTCAGACTGATTTGACGTTTACAAACCGTGCTGATAATTACCCAGAAGTCATTGTTTGGCCTTTATCAAGAGGCACCAGAATCATTTCATCAGTTCAAACATTTCAGAGATTCAGTCTGTTGATTGATTGATCCGGCTAAATATGGCGGATGTAGATAAATGGCACATTAGTAACGGTAACAGAAATTTGCAGTCAGGTGGGCGGAGCTCGAAGCAGGACGATGACGGCCGTGTTTTCAGCGGCTTAATGAACTCCAATCAAAAGCTTCAGCGTTTGGGGACCGTCGTTTCAGGCTTTGGAAAAGCCATCTCTGATAGGTTGGTTTTAGATCTAATGGGGAGAAACATGACGTCAGAAAGGAGTGGAAAAAGGAATTAACTTGCAACAAAAAGTAAATAAACCGACCTGTTGTGAGTCATGTGACTTTTGACGAGATGTCCGGCGGCCAGAGCGGCCATCAGAGAGAGCTCCCCCGCCAGGACGGTGGCGCAGACGACACGCGCCAGCTGGCAGGCGTTCTCACCCGGCTGCTTGGGGCTCGTAACGCCGAGCATCTGCACAGATTTTTAGGTGACGTCACAGCAGGAGGGAAAACAAAGCTTTGATGTTGGAAGATTACAGCTTCCTCTGGTTTTCAGCGAGTAAAGGCAGACATACCTGCAGACAGGCCTGCTGCGGCGGCAGGATGGTGCCTCCTCCCACGGTGCCAAGCTCTATGGAGGGCATGGTGCAGCTGATGTACAGGTCCTCGCCACTCGGACCGGCGGCCTCCATCTGAGTGATACAGCTGGAGCTTCCCACAGTCTGAGCTGGATCCTGGAGCACAGCAGCGGGTAACCATGGTGATTTACAAACCAAAGTAGGGTGGAATGATTCTACAGAATATATATATTATCTAAAATATTATGATTCCCGTAGACCTTTCACTCCAGGTGACATTTAAACAGGGATGTGCATTTAACGTTTATTGTGATACAGATCTCGCCATAGGAATGTATATTTATCATCCAAATTAAAAAAATAAATAAAGGTTTATAACAATTGGTGATTATATTTTCGTTTAATTTTTTCCATTGGGTCATTAATAAATTCAAAGAATATGATTAAATGTGGTCGGTGTGGGATGTTTAGAGAAATAAAAACACTCTTCTTTATTAAACCAGTGAAGAGACCATTTCACGTGTGTCGTTTAAAGCACCACTATTAGTGGAGCTACGGTTTATCTGGCATGCAGTCGCAGGAATACTGTTACCTGAGAAAGGTTGTTAAAAAGAAATAAGGTTTTCATCCTCGTTTTTAATCGTCATCTTGACGGAACCACAAAATACGGCGGTTTCAGACTTTAAGTCACTGTCGCCCAGTAACTGCACTAAGAGCTTGCTCCTCCAGAATCCACCTGCATGGATCCGTCTTCTACCTGCAGATCTCAATCATTCTATTAACAGTTTCCTGTTTAAACCAGGGAACAATGAGCTTTTAGTAGCCGTGGGAATGGCTCACTGACACGGGTCAAACGACTCAGTAAACGACCTGTGGTAAAAATCCACTCGAATCTGATCGGCATGCTGTGGAAACACCAGACCCAGGTTGATCCGTTAAATAACGTGATGCCATTGAACGCAACATACAGACGTACCGCACCACGCAGGTCGCTTCTGACTTAACAAGCTGAAACAGAGTTTCTACAGGAATGATTAACTCTAATTTAAGGCTTTCTAATGCTCTTAGAAATATAGAACATATATATATGGTGCAAAATCCTTGGTCATCTTTACCGTCGACAGGCTGCAGCCATGTTTCTCGTTTTTCATCCATGTTCGTTGAAATTAGCATTTTCCCAATTCTCTAGCTTTTTCTCCGCCTCTAGCTTCTTTTCCGAACATACGGCTTTACGGTCAACCAGAAGTGGTTCCACACAATTATATTGCCATATTTTTGACAAAAGTGTTTTAATAAACTTTTTTTTTTTTTAAAATAAAGCATTTCAAATGCCACGATAATCACATTTGATGAATTTTAATGGCAATTAACTTAATTTAAAAGTAATAATAATTTAGTGACATCGAATTATTTAAAATGACCTGCGGAAAACCTATAAAACAATAAAACATGAAGCAGCTCTGGTGACATCATCAATGCTAACCCAGCGCGGTGCCGTCATTGCGGGGGGACAGACGCCACACACGGGTTAGATCCAGCTTTTTTTCCAGTGGGAATGGAGGCAAATGCTGAGTGTTAACAGGTCGACCCATGTTTGAAAAACACGCATAAACCAAGTATTTTCGGTGGGAAAGAGGCAGCTAGCCAACTTGAAATGCATTACCGCTACCTAAAGGGCTTTTGTTAAAGGTAATGTGACCAAAACTGGGTTAGAGATTACATAAAAAATATAACGAACTGTTCAGAGCGGAACCAACTTTGTGTGGTTACACGTTTCATGCTCTGAAACGAGCATAAAGGCTAAAGAAAACAGCTGGTGTTTAAAAGTCAGCAGCTGTTTGGTATGGAAAAAGGAGAGATTAAGAGAAAGGAATGATAAGGAGGAAGTTATAAAGAAAATAAAGGAAAGACCTGGAAAAATGTATTTTGTTTTTTCCAACCAAGTTCCCCTGATACATTTTAGCTTCTTGCAGAAATAACATTCTGCCTTGACCTTTATCTTTAGTGTCTTATCATGTTATGTTGCAAAACCTCCAACAGAAGGATCAATCTTATCAGTGCAGCCTGCAGGCGGAGCTCTACCTGTCCACAGGCGATGTAGATGGCAGCTACGATGTTTGCAGCGTGAGCGTTGAAGCCTCCAATGCTCCCGGCCATGGCTGAGCCCACCAGGTTCTTACTGATGTTCAGATCCACCAGAGCCGCCGTGCTGCTCTTCAACACCTAACAAAACATTTAAAGCAGCTATTAGGAAAACATCTGGACAGAGCATTGGCTGAAATGAGCTTTGCTTCCTTCCTGTTTGATCTGATCCATAGGTGGACTCTTTACCTCCTTGACTACTTTGGCAGGGATGGTGGCTTCACACACTGCAGACTTCCCCCGGCCTAAGATCCAGTTAATAGCAGCAGACTTCTTGTCGGTGCAATAGTTGCCGCTGACGGACAGAACCTCAATGTCTGGAAAGTGCTGCTTTAATCGAGACAGAGCCTGCTCCGTCCCCTGATGAAAACAGAGCAAACAGACACATCTTCATTTGGGAACCACAGCATACAAAAACAATCCCGGTTCAATACCTTTGGTTGTCTATACACTGCACATCAATCTGAACACACACTGCTGCAAAGAGTGGGAGAATGAGGTGGAGGTTCTGCTCTTCAGATGGGAGAGGATGAAGGAAAGCTTTAGGTCAGATTCATGGGTTAAAGGGACCAGAATGAGAAACAAACATACGTCCTTTTAGCTTCCCTCACTTTCCTTGATGGGTCCTTGGCTGATCCTCTACAATTTTCCTTTTTAAACATCAATCTTTGTACTAAAATATTCTGTCATGATTTGTGGACATTAAGATCTATATTGAAGCGTCATCTCCTGGTCAGAACCTGTAATTCAGTGATAGGGCGGAGTCAGAGTGAAAAAAACATGCAAGAAGGGGCGTGGGGGTCGCAGTAGAGTAAGGCTGGTTTATGCTAAGGAACCAGGTCGTTAGCATGTGTGTCGCAGTTAAAGTAGAAATGCCCCCGCCCCTTCCGCAGGCACTCTGCTGCACTTCTCCCAAAATTGTAGGTAACCGCAGACAGAAGGTCTCTGATTGGTCAAATCTACATCCTCTCTACACTATGCATATTTCCTGTTTGGTTCCTTACCGGCTTGTTTTGTTTGTATGACCGCCATTGTGGAAAACGACTTGTAAAGATGGACCAGCTAGAAGAGTGAAGTGCACGAGAACGCTGGGACCCTTTTTCCACCTGGATCCCCGCTCTTTTTCACCCTCATGTCGCTCCGTTGTTGGACAAACTTGTCCCCACTTCCTCACCGCCTCGGCCGTATCTAGACCCACAGCTATTTCCTGATTGTCCCTCTTGCGTTGTGACGTGGAAAAACATAGCGCAGACAATTCTTCAATATTAGGCATAAATCAAAAATATCTTCGACAAGCTCACTGCGACACACGGCTGCGGGGAGCATAACCAGCCCTGTAGGCCGCCATTCGGCTGGCGTTTGACTGGGAAGGGCGACTTTTAATGGCTGCTGCTGTATCGCCTTAACAGAAAAATACTTCAGACAACCTTAAAGGGATAGTTCGGTATTTTTGACATGAATCTGTATGGCATCCCCATCACCAGCGGCATGCAATCACACTGACTTACCCCTGGCAGCATCCTGTGAGCAGAGTTATCGTCCAGTTTTGGTCAAGCCGAAAGTAGTCCGGCAGGTTTTTAGAGCCAGCGAAATAAAACTTTTCTCTTCCATAAACGTTATGTGTTCAAAACAGCGATATTTTTGCATCCCAAAAACATTGTAGTGGAAAAAGT